AGGAAAGAACTACATCAAGACATATAATAGTCAAAATTCCAAAAATTCAACACAAGAAGAGAATATTAAAATTACTAGAGAAAAGAAACAAATCACCTATAATGGAAAACCAATTAGAATTACAGTAGACTTTTCAACACAAACCCTAAGCCAAAAAGAGCTGGGGGGTGAGGAAGAACAGCGTGGAGTGAAGTGTTTCATGTCCTAAAAGAAAACAACTTCTAACCCAGACTGATATATGTCACAGACTTATCTTTCAAAATTGATGGAGAAATAAGATACTTCCATGAAAAGGACCATTAAAATAAAGGCAAGACCACCAAATCAGTACTCCAAAAGATTCTCAAGGACTGCCTAAGAAGAGATAATGAAGATGAAAATGCCAAAAAGTCTAGCACAATGTAATCAACCAGGCAAGTCAAGCAATTAAATAGAAGACAAAGGAAAACAATAGCAGAAAAATAAAATAATGAAAAGGTTAAGTCAATACCTATTTTATAACCATCAATGTGAATGGTCTTGATACAACAATCAAAAGAAATAGACTAGCAGGATGGATCAAGAAACAAGATCCAACATAAACATGCTGAGAAATTAAATAATACTATCTTTAATAATAGATCACAGATGAAATTAAAAGAAGATATTACACAGTTCCTAAAATCAAATGATAATGCCAGTATGACACAGCAGAACCTACGAAATGAGAGCAGTCCTAAGAGGAAAGTTTATGGTGGTGAATTCCCCCCCCAAAAAAAACAGAGGAAGCTCAAATAAATAACCTAATAAATCATCATACTTCCACAACTGTTATACATATTTAATGCAATCTTGATCAAAATACCAAAAGCATTCCTTACAGACCTAGAGAAAACAATCCTAAAATTCATATGGAACCAGAAGAGACACAGAATACCAAAAGCAATTTTGAGCAACAAGGGCAAGGTAAGAAGGATCACATTCCCAGACTGTAAATTATACTACAAAGCTTCAGTGATTAAAATAGCATGGCATTGTGGGGTGGGAGGGTGGGAGCGGCAAAAAAATCAGACTTGTGAATCAATGGAACAGAATAGAAGATGCAGAAACAAGGCCAGGCTCACTCAGCTGCTTACTTTTGAAAAAGGGGCCAAATACCTTCACTTAAGGAAAGATGGCCTCTTTAACAAACTGGGAAGAACTGGTACCCACATGGACAAGATTAAACCTAGACCCACATCTCTCACCATGCACTAAACTAAAATTGAATTGGATCAAAGATCTAAATAGTAAAACAGAAACACTCTGCTGAAAGATGAAACAGGTAAAACTCTTGAAGACATAGTTGTAGACAATGACTTTGTGACAAAACCCTGGTTGCACAGGAAATATTACATAGAACCAACAAAGGGGATCACACAAATTTAAAAAAAAAAAAGAAACCATCAAGAGAGTGAAGAGACAATCCACAAAATGGGAAAAAAATTTGGCCAGATACTACTCAGATAGAAGACTAATATCTAGAGTACATAAAGAATTCAAAACACTCAGACCCCTCTAAATTTAAAAACCCAATCCAAAATTGGCCATCTGATATAGACGCTTTGCAGATGAACAAGTACAAATGGCCAATACATTCATGAAAAATGGTCAACATTGCCAGCCTTTCAAGAAATGCAAATTAAAATACTGCGATACAGGCCGGGGATTTAGCTCAGTGGTTCGGTGGCCTGCCTTGCAAGCGCAAGGACCCGAGTTCAATCCCCAGTACCAAAAAAAAAAAAACTGAGATACCACCTCACAGCAGAAAAAAATGGCTGTGTGGGCCAGGTGTGGTGGCGCACACTTGTAAATCCTAGACCTCAGGAGCCTGAGGCAGGAGGATCCCTGTGAATTCGAGACCAGCCTGGGCTACATAGTGAGTTCCAGGTGAGTCTCAACTACACAGTGAGACCCTATCTCAAAAAAAACAAAAAACAAAACAAACAAACAAAAAGAATGGCTGTGTGGAACAAAAGAATGCTTCTCCATTGTTGGTAGGAGCGTAAACTGGCACAACCATTATGGAAATCAGTATGTCAATTCCTCAAAAAACTAAAAGTAGAGGTTCCATTTGACCCAGCTATTCCCCTTCTAGGTATCTTCCCAAAAGAGTTAAAAGCATCACACTCTAGTGATACATATAAACTCATATTTACTGCAGCACAATTTATTACAGCTTAATCTTGGAAACAGCCTATATGGCCACCGACAGATGTCTAAAATGTGGTACTTATATACAATGAAATACTACCATGCCATCAGGAAGAATAAAACTGAGGCATTTTAAAGTAAATCGATGCAACTTGAGACCATAATCCTAAGTGAAATGAACTGGACACATAAGTATAAATATCACACTGTTTCTCTGTGTGAGAAACCACAAGTATAATTAAGGAAAAAATGGAGGCTAGATATAAGGAAGATCTTGTTCAAATAGGAAGGGAAGCAAGAAATGGGGGAAGGAGGGAAGGGAAGAAAGGGATTTAAAGAAAAAAAAGAGGTGAAAAAAATGTAAATAGCTTTTGTAAATAGGAAGAGGAAGAAGGATTAGAAGGAAGGGAGGGGAAAGGGAAAAAACAAAAAAATGAATATGTGTTTTATACCTGTACAAATCACGCATGATGAATGTCATCATTACATACTGCAATATATATACTAATAAATGTTTTTAACTTTATGGTATATCTTGTCCTGTTGACTACTTCAAATATACAGATACTATAATGTATATTAGAAGATATGTATACTATAATGCAATTTAATTATAAAAAGCTTCAAGTCACAAAATATTCAAATAAAATATCTGAGATTCAAATGAATTTGTGAGGGCATCAGTGTAACAATGAGGCATTTGTACAATGCTTTACAGTTACATGGTATTTTCCTATAAAACTGTCTTCTTTAATTCTCACAGCCCAGTGAGATACTCATATACCCAAACTTCTGTGACCTGTCAGGGACAGCAAGAAACTCTCCCTGATTTCTTTTCATCTTAGTGCTGCTCTTCAGAATCAAAGTATATGAAATATTTTAAAGCCACTTTCAATGGAGGTACTGCCTTAATTAACACAGTTAGATAAATGTAACATGTAACCTGGAATAATCTTATGCTTGACAATTTAATATGGTCTTTATTTTCAACCAAATGGTAAAATCTAGATAAAATGGCAATCATTTCGACTTTATATGCAACATGTGTGAGATGTGATATTTCTTAGTAAAATTCTTAATAGAATTCCATGCTTTCACACATTAAATGAGTCTTACTCTACAGAACTTCCAGACTCTCAGTTTATTAACATACCATTATGCTAAAAAAAGCAAAACAGGGCTGGGGATTTAGCTCAGTGGTTCCACCACCTGCCTTGTAAGTGCAAGGTCCCAAGTTCGGTCCCTGGTACCAAAAGAAAAACGAAAAAAGAAAGAAAGAACAAAACCTTTACAGGGAATGCAGTCTCCTAAATGTTCTGCCATGCAGAGGCAGCTGAGGGGCAGAAATAAAATTCAGTTTGCCATTTATTCAACATTATTACTAGAACTAAACCAAACTACAAACAAAATGCTAGTAGAAAATACACTGCATCACTGAAGATTTCACATACTACAAAAATCTGAACAGGACAAAGAACTTCAAATTAATCTGTCCCAGTCAGAAACTAATACATAAAAAATATATTTGTATCTGGATAGATCAAATCCAAATTCTTTATGGAATAGTATAACTTAAAGAACAATGAAGAGCTGATTGTTGCTCTATTTTACATGTAATATGAAGTCATACTATTCTAAGATTTGGTTTTTGGTTGGTTGGTTGTTTCTTTTGGGGTTTTGTTTTTTGAGACAGAGTCTCACTATATAGTTGAGACTGACTTGGAACTCACTCTGTGTCCCAGGCTGGTCTCAAATTCACAGCGATCCTCCTGCCTCAGCCTCCCATGTGCTGGGATTACTGGCATACACCATTACGCCCGGCCCTATTTTAAGATTTTTAAGACACCATGGTGATACGATTTTTGGAACAAGTAAGAAATTGAAAACTGATACAAATCTATTTGTTGGAAACACAACATATTTAGAAAATAATCACAAAGTAGCGGAAAAATTCAAAGACATTTAAGACAGTGTTACTTAGGATTACAAAACTGTCTTTCTAGGAAAGTCAGGGTACCACAACCACTAAAAACAGTGATACAGGTGTACACTTAGATACCTAGGGAGGTGACCAGGTTTAAGGAATAAGAAATGCATTGTCTTTACCATATCCATGTTTCTAAACACCAAATAATTTTTTTCTAAAAAACCTCCAGTACCTTCTTCAGAAAAAGACTAGAAAATGGTTCTATGAGTAAATTCTGAATATAGCATATTCCTTAATCATTCTCTGCTTATTTACAGGACAAGGAATTTGTTGGTTTTCATTCAGTGCAAAGGATAAAGGGATGTGCCCCACATTCTCTTAGTACAAATCTTACAGGGCTAACATTGTTCTCCATAGTTTAATCTAACTGACATGATGGAAAAATTGAACACAGATACTTAACACTGACTTACTTATTAAAATCAAGAACATTTCAATAGTCAGATATTAGAAAACACAGTAATGTTTCAAGAAAATATGTTAACTAATAAAACAAGTCAAGTGCTATATGCATGCATTAACAAACTCCAAAGAACTCAAAAACACTCTGATTAAGCATAAAGAAGAATTAGGGATGCCAGAATATAAGTAGCAAGTGCAGTTATAAGTAAACAGTTCTTAAGTCATTTCTTCTGAAAGTTTTATGTGAGATCTGTTTCTCTCAATGCAAGACACACCTATTTCCAGGCTTCTCACCAGAATATTATTTTTGGATTCACAACTGTTTTGTTATGTGGACTTCTGATAATCCAATTCAACAGTGTAAACTAGAATCATATCAACTCATAATCATGCTCTACAGAGTTTTAGAAACTAAGTGATTTCTGTATGAAATATTTACCTTCATCTTTTAATTGGTCAGCTTTTCCCACATCTTCAGACACTGAGTTTTTGAGGGGCAGAACGTCATTCTGAAATTAAATAAAAATAAATACACTTCTATTTAGCTACATAGCATCAATGGGAGGCTCCAAAAATAAAGTAATAATTATCCACATTTTAATAACTAATCTGTAATTCCATTTCATGAAATCTAATATCTAAATAAAAAGGTTAACAAGAAATGGTGGTGGAGGGAATACTCTCCCATAATTTTCTTAGAAATCCAAATATATCATGTTTTTCTAGATGATACTAGGCAATTGTGAATTCAATTTTTAAAATTTATTTTCCTCATACCCAGAAAAATCTGACTTTAAGAACAAAAAATAGAACTTTAAAGAACAGAATAGGAATATAATCACTGGATTATTCATGGATTTTTCCCCCTTGGTAGTATTGGGGAATGAGCACTATAGTGACTACTGAGCTAACCCCAGCCCTGTTTACTTTGAGACAAGGTCTCACTAAGTGGCCCAGGCAGACCTTAAACTTCCAATCTTCTTGCCCCAGCCTCCCCATAAGCTGGGATTACAGGTGTACACCAACATACCTGGCTTATTAGTGAAACTTCTGAAGCAAAACATATACTATTTAAGAGACACACTAAGTTAAAATTAATTTACTAAAAAAATCACTTATGGTCATTATTTATATGTGTGTGTGTGTTTGTGTGTGTGTGTGTGTGTGTGTGTATACGTACTCATACACACCTGTATACACACACACACACACACACACACGCACGCACACATTTAAAAACAAAACCTGGAAAGGTGTATACCAAAAGGTTAAGAGTAATAATGTTTGCAAGTAAAACCTTCAGCCTTTCTGTGCTGCACAAATTTTAAGATAATGAACAAAAACTTATTTCACTGTAAGATGAAAAGCATACAAAAAAAAAATTTTTAGCACCTACTATCACCTTCAAACCTCTCATGCATTAATAAGGTTCAAACCACAAGTAAAGCCTTCAGCCTTTCTGTGCTGCACAAATTTTAAGATAATGAACAAAAACTTATTTCATTGTAAGATGAAAAACATACAAAAAAATTTTTAGCACCTACTATCACCTTCAAACCTCTCATGCATTAATAAGGTTCAAACCAAAGGTGCTTATTAAAACTGAATTGAAAATATTTCCATATTTTCAGTGGCAGTAGGAATACAATGTGTTTTTACATTTGCAAAAACCTTTATTTGGTCAGGCTTTGTAGCTTGACCTACTCAGGGAGAGTGTCTCAAAAAAATTAATTAGTTAATAAATAAATAACTAGACCTTTTCAAAATTTTAATGCTTTTAGACTCTCTGATATTCGGAATAAGTCTACAATTTTAAAAAAACATAATTTGTAGCTATTATGCTTATATACTACATTTTAAATGTATCACCTATTACTTAAACTTGACTCTCTGATATTCGGAATAAGTCTACAATTTAAAAAAAACATAATTTGTAGCTATTATGCTTATATACTACATTTTAAATGTATCACCTATTACTTTTGTCTTAAATGAAGTTTCAATAAAATGTATAGATTTAATACGAGTAATATAATTTGCTAATTAGACACAAATACAAATAACTGACAGAGAATATGGGTATTCTTTGTTTTTTAAAATCTTTCTCTATCGCTTCTCGGCCTTTTGGCTAAGATCAAGTGTTAAAATCTTTCTCTACTAATCAATTTTCCTTTTGAGATAAGTTCTTGTTATGTATTCCAGATTGGTCTTGAACTCACAATGATCCTCCTCCGTCTCTGGAGTGCTGGAATTTCACGCCACCTGACTTTACTAACCAATTTAAGCATAAAATAGTGAAATACAAACAGCACAGAAATAAAATGAGAACTTTCATAAGTAGTTTACTACTTATAACTGTTGTTGAAAGACATATTACTGCCCTATAATACCTGCTTTCAGAGTTCCTTTTATTTTAAATCTCGCAACAAGCCTAAACAGTTTACAAATAGAAAAAAAGGAATATTTTTGCCAGAAAAAAACAAAAGATTAAAAAATTGTTTACATTCTATTGTTTTCCAAATCTTTCTTAACTATTGTAATGAAACTGCCACGTTTTATACTTTGAAAAGTAATTCTCATATTCAGAGTAAATTTGGGCAACTCATAATATTAAGGCAAATGAAATCAGTTAGTATATACACTAACTTAATTGAGTGGGGAAAGAAAAGCAGTATACTAAAATTAAAATGACTGATAAAACATTTAAGTACATCTGATGAGAGAACTAGTTTTTTGTTTTGTTTTTTTTTTGGTACTGGTGATCGAACTCGGGTCCTTGTGCTTGTGAGGCAGGCGGTGGAACCACGGAGCTAAATCTCCAATATGAGAACTAATTTGTTTAATTATAACAATGTTGATACTGTTTCAGAAAAGTTTTAGACTTTCTCTTCCACACTTTTAAACAAATACATATGGAGTAAAGCTATAGATGTTAATAAGATTACTAAAGGACAATGATACCTAATATATTACACCACTATAGATGTACTAGGGAGAAGTTTCAGTAAACTTCATTTTAAAATAGTATGCAACAAATTTCTTACAATTAAATGCAATCAGAGAAATACAGCCAATGGGAAAAAAGAACTTTATTCAAACAGATTGTCTTCAATTACAGCTTCCTGTAAGATTTAAAAAAAAAAGTTCTGACCTCTGTAGTATTATGTCAATGCTGACTGTAACTAAAGAGTCAGCCATTCCGAGTGCTGCCTGAAGCTCAGGCCTTGAGAGAACAAGGTCTGCTTTAGCCATAGCCGTATGCAGCCACTGAGGCAGGGTTTCCTGAGGAGGCCACAGACTCAGACAAAGAACCAGATCTCATCTTCACTACAGGGAAGAAAAAGGGGATTCCTTGCTGAAGAACAGACACACACCACTACTCTTTACAGCTTGTTAAATAATTAGAATTTATTTGGGCCAGGGTTGTAGACCAGCAGAAGAACACCTATCTAGTACTTGTGAATCCTAGAGTTCAATTCCCAGAAACACACACACACACACACACACACACACACACACACACACAAATTTGTTGAATGAGTTAATGTATACCAGCATTATTCTTTCTCTAGGTATAAAAAGGAAATCGGGAGTAGTTCACTGCCAAATTTTTGTCTTTATTGCAACTCTAATAACTTCTCAACAAGTTCTATAAACAGAGTTTGGAGAATCTAGCTAAATGTGGTATTGTCAGCAATGTCTATTCCAAGGTGAAGTATTTTGTTGTTGTTGTTTGTTTGCTTGTTTTGTTTTGTTTTTTGGGTTTTTTTGGCAGGGTGCTAAGGACCAAACGTAGGACCTCTCACTTGTGAGGCAAACACTACCGCTGAGCTAAATTCCTAACTACCATGCTGAACTTTACACTTCATGTGTCAACTTTACTCCTGAATCCTTCAATATGTAACAAACTCAAATACAGAGCTATATTCCTTCTTGGCCTTTTGGCTAATATCAAGTGTAATATCAAATACAGAGCTAGAAAGATAACAGGAGTTCGCGAGGCACTGAAATGGAAGGAAAAAACACACGCAAGGTCAACTAGGGTTCCCACATTCTAACCTTAAGATTTTTCAGATGACCTTACTGTCCACGTTTCCCACAAGGCCAGAAATCAGGGACAAGCAGTCTGAGCAGGGATCAGAAAACTTGGGTTCCAGCTTTAATTTTGCACACCGATCTGTTTTTACAGATCCTGCACATTGATCTATTTTACAAAGTCCCATCAGTGATAAAATTTGATGAAATCTACTTCAGAAATGATGATTCAATTCCAAACGAATCAATTTCTTCATAGTTGCTTTTTTAGACATTAAAAATTTTATTTTTAACTGTAGTATGTTTCAGAGGAATATCAATTTTTTAAGTTGGAAATCTAAAATTACTTATACTACAAAAGACTTAGAAGTCAACCAAGATATATCATTAAATATAAAAGCTGAGAGAATAATAGGTACTAATGTGAAAATCTAAAGCACATTTAACAAGTTATATTTTAGATCTCAAATTACCTCCATACTAACTAATCCACCTTATTTCCTAAAAGAAGTTAACTACTTATAGACCTGGCCATGCTAATATTAACAACCAACATGAGAATGTCATCATACTTGCATCAGACACTAATGAAAAAACGATGACAACATACCTTACAGAAGGAATTTGTGAACATTTCTGTCAAAGGCTGTGAAACTGCTAGATGTGTATCTTCTATGCTGATCTTAAAAACCGTCTCCAGGCACTGAATTGCAACTTGAAACAAATTTTAATAGTGGGGAAAAAAAGGCAAGTTAAAAACAAACAGCTTTTTTTTTTTCTGATAGGAGTATAATCTGTGGTAAATCAGTACTTATGATCATAGAACATGAGGAAAACTAATTGGCTCAGCTGCATAGAGACTTCTGTTTACAAACCAGATACTGAGGAAAAACAACTTGATTTCTTATTCCTCACTAAAAAATAAGTGTTATGTACAATAACATTTCTGAATATATATAACATCATATTCTTATTGAAGGTTACCAGATAGAAGAGCAAGCCATTACCAACTTACTCCCCTATGGATATCTAATTTACCACCAATGTCTTAATGCTTTGAATGAACTTAAAATATCACGTATACATGTATGGCATACATACATACACATACACACACACATACATATATATGTGCTTCTCTGGGACAGAATCCTCTGTAGTCCAGCCTGGTCTTCAACTTGCTGTGCAGCCCAGGCTGGCCTTGAACTTGTGATCTTCTTGTCTCATTCTCCCCAGTGCTAGGATTAAAGGCTGGCGCCACCATGCCTGATTCTATATATGGTTTAAATGTGAGAAACAAAGTATCAACTTGAATAAAAAAATAAGACAAATAGTCCCTGATATATAAGAAGTATTAAATATTAATCCTAGTATACCTAAGTGAAGTTATATCAGTTTAAAAGATTCATTCACACATGCAAATTTACCAAATGCCTACTATGTATAAGATGTTGTTCTAAGGTGATGGAAAAACAGCAGTAAATATAACAGGAAAAAAAAAATCACTGTCCACATGATAAAGTTTAGCTTTAAAATGAGTGTGGTCATGTTTAAATACCGAATTGTTTCTCTTGTGTGAGAAACTGAAAGGGGAAATAAGAACTAAAATGTGTAATAGATATTGGGAAATGAAAAGAAAATGTTCAATTTTAAAATGAGTGTGGTCATGTTTAAATACCGAATTGTTTCTCTTGTGTGAGAAATTGAAAGGGGAAATAAGAACTAAAATGTGTAATAGATATTGGGAAATGAAAAGAAAATGTTCAAATGGGAAGTGGAACAAGGGAGGGGAAAGAGGAAAGAAAGGAAAGGATAAGAAAAAAAGTGAAAATACAAGGAAAAAATGAAAACAAAGATTTTGTATATGGGGGGATCAAGGCAGAGAGAATGGGGGAAAAGAAGAGGCAGGATATATCATGTACAGGTAAAATTCCCTATGGTGAGTCTTATCATTATATATATCTAAAATGTACCAATACCAGCTCAGCAGCCAGCACCTGCTTGCAAGGCCAAGTTTGATTCTCAGTAACAACAACAACAAAAAAAGTATTAATAAAGATTTTGCTTCAAAAAAAAGAAGTGTGGTGATGCACAGCTATAATCCCAGTATTCTGAGAGGCCAAGGAAGGAAGACTGCAAGTTCGAGCCCAGCCTGGGCAATACAATAACTTAGCAAGACTCTAATTAAAAACAACAACAATACCACCACCACCAACAACAAAACATGCTACATGTAATAGAAGGGGGAACATAGGTGAAATATACACCATGTTGAATAGTACCAGGTGACTCATCTCTCTTTGGTTCAGAACAAGATCACAGGTTGGTACAGCTACAGTACAGATTGCGTACATGGGAAGGAAAATTACATAACTACATTTGTGTTTAGAACTAAAAGTCTGTTAAAAATATTGAGAGTGAATGAGTGTTACAGTTCATGTCCCCCAAAGACTCATTTATTCAGAGGCTAGGATTCTGAAAGCTGAATGAATGCAATAGCTTCATTATCAAATGATCAATCTATTGATGAGTTAACAGCCTAATTAGCTGTAAGGACCCCTTACACGGGGCATGCCTTTCAAGGATATTTCTCTTCTTTGGCTCTTCCCTGCTAACTCTGCTTTCCAGTTGCCATGAGGTTAGCAGCTCTCTTCCGCCATGCCACTCTGCCAGGCCATTTCTGCCTTTGTGCCAGCCTGCCCTAGATTGAAACCTCTGAAACTGTGAGCCAAAATAAACCTTCTCGCATAGTGTGGTGGCGCACACCTGTAATCCCAGCACTCAGGAGGCTGAGGCAGGAGGACCGCTGTGAGTTTGAGACCAACCTGGGCTACATAGTGAGTTCCAGGTCAGTCTCAACTACATTATAAAAAACAAAAACCTTCTGTTCTTTATACTGGATATGTCAGGTATTTTGTCCAAGGACAGGGACAGTGAAAAGTACATATCCTCTCCTTGAGACTCTGAGGGAGATGGAGGTAAAGTCTCATCCTGATTTCACTCTAGTATGATAGTTCTCCTGCTAGATAAGAACTTGAGAATGTAGACAAGATATGCCCTGATCACTTTCACACAGTATGGAATAAATTCACTTATATTCTTTTTTTTTTCTTGATGGATTGGGTTTTAATTTTGTTTTTATTGTACCTGTCAAGATACAAGATATCTGGGCCAGGGATTTAGCTTAGCGGTTCGGTGGCCTGCCTTGCAAGCGCAAGGACCTGAGTTCAATCCCTGGAACCAAAAAAAAAAGATAAAAGATATCTGATTGTTCCTCAATCACTCACATTATTTGACTTCTAAAAGATACATTGTGTATTAATTGTGGTCTTGAGAAAAACATTTCTGTCAAAAAGAACTACTGTTGCTTTCATTAGCCACAGAACAAGTCTCCTTAGAAAAGGGGCTAAATAAGCAACAAAATTACCACATAAGAAATAACCTATACACCCACCCTTCATTCTCTCCCTATTTCTGCCCAGGGTGAATTTGTAATTAAAATGCTGGGCCACAAGAAATCTGCTTTCACTGCAATGAAAATAGTTAATTAAAATAATCATAACAAAAAAGAAATATGTATATGTCTATATTCACTCTTAACAAGCATTCCCCGTACTTGATCAGATTGGTCATTTCCTTTACTATGCCGCATTGTTTGTACAATTTTCTATTATTGTACTTGTTATATTATACATAACTATCATCAGTATATGGTGGCCTGAATGTATGTCTCCTATATTGTACTTGAAAACAAGGCCTACATCTTACTCATCTTTGACTGGAGTAGAATTTGGCAAATGGTAAGATGCTCAGTGAATTGAATCTACTGACTTTGCAGTTCAAATCATATTTGAATTTCTGAGGAAAAAAAATCAAATCTGTAAAAAGGAACATTTCTCCTCCCCACCCCTCAAATAAAACAAACACCAATTCACAGACAAATAAAGGATTGAGGGAACCAAACTAAACCAATTAACCAAAATCCAGAGAATGGAACTTCAGAGCTAAGCACTAACAGCACTGAGGGTCTTTTATGCCCTATCTTGTTCACAAGTTCTAGTGCAGCTTCTTAACTCTGCTGCTAGAACACGAACGTGCCACTTACTAAACACAATTCAGTACTAATGAAGGACGTAACTTTTTAAAAGATAATTCTGTTTTGATAAGAACCTATCCTTGCAACTCAAGACCATCCTCTTTGTATTACTAATCTAGGTTCTCCCTTCCAATTAAAACTGAGGTTCAATACAATAATAAATACAATAATTTAACTTTTACCTCAAGATTCTCAGTTATGAAACAAATACAGTGGATCCTCCTTTTGGGAAATTGAACTCAGGAGTAAATCATAAAAATCTTAAGTAATGCTTATGTACTTATATACTTATACAAATAAAAGTCTCTGGTACTGATGCCAAGAAATTTAATAATTTAATAAGTAGTTTTACTCAATAATATCATAATTTTATTCAATAGTATCTTATCTATATAGCACTTTATTCAAAAGTTTCCACATGCTACATACCTGCTGTTCACTGATTCTGATTCTCTTCACAAAATGTATTAGTTGGAGTGGGGGCAGATATATTCACCTAACAGACTTGAAAACTAAGATACAGACCAGCTAAGCGATAGGCCAGGATCACTGGATTCAATTTATCAATTCAGTAAACAAACATTTATTGAGTACCTATCATATGCCACACCTTTTTCTAGACACTTTCCATGTATCTGTGAATAAAACAGAAAAGATCACTAACCTCTTAGGGCTTATTTTCTAGTTGGGCAAAGAGAGGTGGAGTATGAGTGATAAGTGCAGAGTAAGGAGGGCGGGAATGAGCAGAGCTGAGCAGGGAAGCAGGATGCAGATTTAACAGAGTTCAAAGCTGTCCTCTTTGAGAAAAAGAAATCTGACAAAGATTTTTAAGAGGTGGGGGCATTGTCATTATCTTGAGGGAGACCACTCCAATTCAAAGAAACACCTAGAACAAAAGCCCTTAGGCAAAAACTGATTTGGTGCATTCACAGTGAGGAAGCAACTTGGCCGAAACAAAGTGAGAAACAATAGGTGAACAACGCATCACAGAAGTCCAAATTATATAGATTCTTTAAGTAAGGACTAAGTAACATGAGTCTCTGCAAGGTTCTGAGTAGAGAAATGATAAAATCTGATATAGTCTGAAAAGAACACTCGGAAGCATATAGACTAGGTGGGGCTATTTTGTACAAGAGGTAGAAAGACTTGGTTCTAACAACATGTATGATATCAGGTGGCAATAGGTGGTCAGACTCTAGACATATTTTGAAGGTACAGCCAATTGGATTTATTGAGTGATTAGATGCAGAATATGAGAAAAGGACAAAAGTCCAGAAAGACACCCAAGTTTTTGGTCTGAGCAAAACAAAAGCTAGAGTTCCATCACCAAGACAGGGAAGTTGTGGACAGAACAGATTTTAGGTGGGAGGATTAGGAGTTCAGTTTTGGCAATGTTAACTTTGAAATGCTTGTTAGACATGCAAGTGGAGATCTTTAGTAGGCAGTTGGATATACAAGGTCTAGGCCAAGGCTACAAATTTGAGAAATGTCAGCATATTAATTGAAGATATTTAAGGTCAATAAGCTGAGTAATACCACCAAAGAAATGAGTGTAGATAATGAGAAGAGATTCAATCAGTGGATCCCGGATAGGGCAGTCCATGGAAAAGAAAAGGAATCAGCAAAGGAGAAACAGTAAACTACAAGACAAGAATACAACTAAGAGATTATGAAGTATACTGGAGCTAAATGAATAAAGTATATGAGGGAAATGAGTCAAGAAATGATCATCAACTTTATTAATGGCAGCTAAAAATTTAGTTATTTAATTCAGATTAAGATTAAGAACCGATCATTGATTAAAACACAAAAATCAGGGGAGGGATGTAGTTAGTGGTAAAGGGCTTGCCTAGCATGTATGAACCCTGGGTGCAATCTCCAGTACCTAAATAAATAAACAAACCAACAACCCAGCAATCTCTAATGACTGCTGGACACGAGCTGTAATCCCAGCACTCGGGAAAAGCTGAAGCAGGAGGACAGCTAAGAGTTTGAGGTCAGCCTGGCTACACAGTGAGTTCAATGCCAGACTGAACTGTATGATAAGACCCTGTATCAAAAAACTCACTAATGACTTCAATAAGAGCCCTATGGATACAGAGATGGGTGGTAAAGGCCCAAGTGGAATGGGTTTAAGAAAGAATAAAAGGAGAATTGGAGTGAGGGGATATAGACAAATCTTTCAAACTGTTTTGCTATGAAATGAGACAAAAAAATTAGGCAGTATTTTGTGGAGGGGATAATATGGCAAAGAATATTTATTGGGTGTTTCTGCTAAGAAGGTAAGAAGAAAAGGCAAGTTTATGTTTCCATGAAAATGATATAAAAAGTAAAAATTTGATGATATAAAACCAAGACAGCAGAATAACTAGAGTGATGACCTAGATGAATAAGATGGGATCTAGGACACCAGTAGAGGGTACCATGAGAAGGGAACACTGATGGTTCATCTATGCTGGTAATAGCACAGGCAGAAAGATTATGTATGTGCTGGTGCTGGTGGCTAGGAGTTGATGGAAGTTGTTTTCTCATTACTTTGGTTTTCTGGGTAGAGAAGAAATCAACTAAAAGTGAAGACCATGAATGAAGTTTGGGGATTTGAGAAGACATGAAACTGTTAAAATGATAATCTAGAGAATAAAAGTATTAATGAACACAAAACAAACAGTATGACTGCCTGGCACCATTAAATGTCTTCTTGAAGTTTACAGTCATGAATTTAAATAGGATTAGTCAGAAAGGCTGTATATTGTACTCTATCGATATACAGTCACAGGGATATGGGCACAAAGGAGAGAATAGAATTTAGGCAAGCTTAGGTTTAGTGAGAAAGGGAAGGAGATACATGGGAATTATTTTATTGATCAGCTATGGAATTTATGGTAAAAATGGGGATGGAAAAGTAAGAGATCAAAAAGGCTGGAAGTACTGGTGGGTTCAAAGAATTGTTCGGGTAAGGATTCTAAAGGAGTGACATAAAACAATAGGGAGTAGTGGTCAGGAAATGAAATTACAGAAGGAATGAAATTTTGGTAATGATAACATCTAGGTATGGATTTTTCAGTCTTGGCATACAGAATTGGGGGTGGGGGGTATCAGGATTAAACCCTGGACCTTTGCCAGCTGTAGCTCCTGCCTAATGGGGGAGAGGCAGGGTCTCACTCAGTCATTAAATTGCCTGGGCTGGGCTCAAACTTGAGATTCTCCTGTCTCAGCCTCCCAGAGTGCTGGGATTACAGGCATATACCACCATGGCCAGCTGACACACTGACATTTTAATTAGAAAATCCCTTGTTGTATGGGACTGTCCTATGTATTGTAGTATGTTTAGCAGCATCCATAGCCTCCATCCACCAGATACCAAATACCAGCCCCCAAGGTCGTAACAATCAAAAATATCTCTGATTCTGAAAAATCACCCTGAGTTTAGGACCCCTAATCTAGGGTATAGCCAGGTTGTTGAGATTCTTGTGGAAAAAGATCAAGAGTCAAGGAAAGTGGAAAAAAATTACCTATGATTATATCAGAATTGCCAAGGGTTAAGACAGGAGTAGCATGTGAGAGGGAATAGGAACTACAAAGGTAAAAAATAAAGCAAATGTCAGTAGATGATAACAGTTAAGAGAAGTGAATGACATAATCTGATTATAAGATTTAAAGCTGATGATATACCATCTTCAAAATACACAGTGGTAAAGCTTGTGCTAGAACCTAGGCTTCCTTTCTAGGGCTTTTTTAAATGTCTAGAAGGTGGGCAGACAACACCTCCACATGATTTCATGTTCAATTAAATTAGACTTGCAAAGTCAAAAATAGGGGTCAGTCACAAACAATTGGCACCATTTCTGACTGCCATATATAACAAACAGATGAAAGCACATATTTTTGGCTGAATACCATCCTAAAAATAGTCTATAACATCTTGGTTTTTAAAATACTCTCAATTTTCATTCTGGCCCTTAAAAACATGTTACTGCCTTTGATTAGAAAAGAAACATCTTTTATTAGATGAATGCATTTATCTGTCCACCACAGAGCTATCATAATCAACATTTTCCTTAGCTAACCAGTCACCTTTATCCTTACACAGTCCAACTATCAAGGAGAACAAAAAGACTTTAATACTAAATGGACCAATTTGCAATGTTTTCCAACCATGCATCACGTGTTCCTCTCACTGTCACCTGGAAAGACATCATCTCACCAGACTGAGAGCAGATTTAGAGCAAATGTTCAGTTTTCATCCCCACCTCGTTAAAACAGATTTACAAGGGAAGTACTCAAAATTAATAGATGTGTTCCCTTTATAGGAGCAGCTACAAGATGGGAAATTCAAACTGTAGTGTTATTTATTGAGTTCTCCCAAATGTACTTTCATTTCAATAATTAAGTCTTTAGGCCACAAGGTAGGCTCCGTGAATTCTGACAAACCCATCTGAAGAATTCTATCTTGTTATGATTAGAGTGAATTTAAAATTTTAATGCATACACATGAAGCACAAAGATGGTGTGAAGGAAACACATGATGCTATCTATATCCTCTGAGTCCTGCTCAATTTTACAGATTACCTAATCCAGTATTTATAGCTCATGTAAAACAAGGATGAAATCTTCTCTTTCCAAGTCCCAAAGTGCGTGCTAGCATTTATCAGAACTCACGAATTATTCAGACCTTTACATAGTGCAATTACAATGACTAAGGTATTTCATGTATCATTTCTAAACTTGATGCTCTATTATTAGAAAAAGGAAAAAAAAAACAAACTTCAGAACAAGAACCAAGATTTAAATTTCAGCTTCATCACATACTGGATGTTACAATACTTAAACTATCTGGTTTCATTTTCTCATCTGGTAAAGGGGAATGATATTAGTCGCTGAGAAGAAAAATTCTCAATAATATGAATAGCATAATTCTGATACAATAATTGTTCAACAAATGAACAATAGTGCTCTTACTTTGTTGTTAATAAAAACAATCTTCAGAGAAAAGAAATAAGATAATCTTAATAGTTAAGTCTCTCTACTTGAAGATCAATACAATATTTTGATTTTGTTGTACATAATGAAGTTGAGTGATAGCAGTTTATCTTTATTTATAACAGAAATGAACACAAAGACCAGATGCCTACCTTCCAAACTTTCTTGTTCATCAGAAGTATAAGCATCCATCTGACTTTGTTCCCGTAAGAAACGAATAACTGCATAAACTAGGTGCTTGATAGTTGACATTTTCGAAGCTTAAACACTTCCTTAACAATAAAAATGAAAACACTGAATTCAGTTAAAGAATCAGCCAGAAAAGTTATCAATGAAAAAAGTAGTAAATAGCAAGGATTATATTACATTAGAAGCGGAAAAGAAAACTTGCACTACCTTGATGTTTTTAGAGTTATGGTAATTTATTACCACACACACACACACACACACACACACACACCCGTGATTCTTTTAATTCTTTTGGAAAGACACTCAGCAGAGGAATAGCTGGGTCAAATGGAACCTCTAATCCTAGTTTTTTGAGGTAATTCCATACTGATTTCCACAGTGGTTGTACCAGTCCACACTCTCACCAGCAGTGGAGAAGTGTTCCTTTCTCCCACAGCCCCACGAGCATTTGTTATTAGTTGATTTCTTTTTAAAATTAATTTTATTGGTACATTTTAGGTATACAATATAACATTCATAATTGGAAATTTGTACCTTTACATAATCTATCTTGGTTCTTATTTTTTTACCCATTCCCTGCCCTCCCTTCAACCCCTGCACCTCTCCCTATTTACAAAGACTTTGTTTCCATTTTTTCATTTTCTTCATTTTTAAAATTTGAACCAAATAGTACTAAGCTATGTTTAACGTTGGATCAACAAGATTATTTTTCCAAAACATGTAAAACATAAGCTTGGACTCTCACTGCATCTTAATTATATATGTGGCTCAGATACATGAGTACGGATATAGATATAGAAATCCCCCAAATGGCCTTGTCCTAAGGTGAGGGAAATTTCATACTGCTGACTCAGAAACTAATACACAATAAGCATCTCCACCTAATACATGGGATTTTTAAAACTTCAATATATGTAATTTACACCCCACCTACTTTCATTAGTCGAGAGCTACACGCTGAGGAAATATACTCGAGAAAGGCTGTTCAGCCATTGAGTGTCATTCTCGATCAACAGCATTTCTATGTAATCAACAGACAGGTCAGGAAATCATTGCCTAAACCGATGATACTACAAACGGACCAGCGCTCTCTGCAGTAGCTGTGCTCTCCTGGAGAGGTTGGGCGCTCCGGGTCCTGTTCATTCACTTGGAATACAATCGCCTCCAAACAGTGGCGCAAAGCCAGTGGCATTAATGGCTCATCTCCACTAAATCGCATCATCCGTCTGCTCCCCAGGCTCCCTAATCCAAAGCCAGGGTGTGGTGCTCGCCTCTAGGATGTGGTGCCCGCTGCTACAATGCTTATTATTTGTGTACCGATTTAAAAGGCGAGCCCAACCTCTAGGCCAAGGGGTTATTACAAGTGCTATTAAGTAAGGCCCCAGGACAGAAGGTGAAAACAAGAAAAGGCGAGGGTAAGGAGCTATCCACCCCCAGATTTCTCTTCCAGCATCTCCTGGGCGCACAACTACCCCCACTCCAAGCCTCCCTCCCCGCAGTCCCCGGCCCTCGCCTCAGTCCACTAGAGATTTGCAACGGGTGTGCAGCTCAGGCCTCCGTCTGGGGTTCGGGTAGACGCACCATTTCCAGACAGAAGGACCTTACCAGAAAAGAGAACGCAAGACGACAGCTGCTGGCCCGGGGACGTCCGTAAACCAGTCCTCCCGCCCACTCGACCTCAAGCGTAGAGCCCGGATCGAGATCTCAGCCCTGGACGCATTCGCCCAAACTTCGTCCGCTCCCACACCGCCTCCCCCTCAGCCAAGCAAGCTGCAAGCTGGGCTCTGGGCGGCTGGGTCTCGCCGGAT